AGAAGGGCACAGTAGAACTAGTGAGTAGAGGGGATGCTAAGCCCTGAGTTCTCAAGATAATCTCAAGGAATCAAGAATCCATAGGCACAATCAGAGCACTGTATGAACATGAGACGTCCACGACGGTTTAATACTCGCCCGGCAATTAAGAAATCTTGCCGGAACAAAGGTGGAATTATTAAAGAAGTAAGCTAAGTTTCCGATTTAACTGAGGGTCACTAACTTTAGTTGCATTTAGGACAGCAAGCCGGTGGCGTGTCGAAGGTCCCTCCATTTGACGTTATCTTTTCCAGTTAGATTTTAAAACTTTGCACAGTTTTGGCAGGTAAGCAGTTTCATGGTTTTATAATCATGTGGGTGAAAGTGCTGGACCAACCAGGATGTAATTGTATGGGGCCTGTGGGCCACCCAAACCGCTTGATGGACCAAGTTACGACAAGTTAAATCTGGTCCCCGGCTGGGCTTTGGGTAGAACTTCTCCCATAACCCCCTCCAGGTAAACTGCAGATAAAGTACATACACAAGTCTACAATACTGTGTTAATACTGCAGTCCAGGGTGTACAAAGGCAATAAAACATACCCACTAATAAAATAACCATTCAATAAAAGCTATTCACGGATCGTAGTGTTTGACAAAAGGTAGGGTTTTATTCCTACAAAGAAGTTTAATGGATGTTAAAATGTGAAATTGAACAAATTTGCCATTAGTAAGGGGGTAGGGATTATAAAATGGAATATGCACAAGTATTTATACAATGTCAAATAGTCTCTGCCCAATAATCCAAATTATATGGGGACTAGCCTAACTAGAATAGATAATTTATCTGGAGAGTTCAAAAATTCAATTTGTTCAAGGAAATCTCTTGATCTCTTCGCCAGGAATCTCTTAATCCGAATTTTTAGTATAAAGTACGGTAGTCTAAAAGTAATTCAAATTTATTTAAATTACCCAAAGATTAAGGTTACCGGAAATTAAATTACCAAACACACTACTGGTTGGCTCCAGGAATCTGTCTCAATAACCCGGCCTCTGACCATGCCTCCTAATTGGTTGTAGAGTGAACCAGGAATCGGGATATGCAGCTCCTCAAACCCTGATGTATGAATTGTATCCTAGTTGATTAGATATCCAAGGTAGAGATTTATAAAGCACTCTTGAACACAGTGAGAGGTTGGTAAGTTATGCCCGTTATGTGCAAGTGTTGAAAAGTCCTGGGACCTTTATGCTGGTGTAAATTCTCTTGGCGTACCTTTTGCGACTCGGCTCTTCAATGGGGCTATTTTTGCACTTCTGCCGTGCCTCTGGATCTCTTGGTGGTGTGCGCGTGCAGATTTGGAGCCAGTCCCTCTAATATTTTTGAAAGTGTAAATCATTTCTCATGCCTGCACTAAAGAGAATAGATTGAGAAATTTTAAGTGGTCCCAATAATTTAAATGTTTTGTTTTGGGTCGGCAATGAGTTCTCGGCATGTTCTCCAGCTCTGAATGGCACCATTAGTGCAACATTGTTCCCATCTTAAATATCATTGGCGTCTTAAAGAACTGTATCATCCTTTACAGATGACAGTAGGATCTTCATGAAAGAACAGTAGACAGAATAGGACATGGCAAACTTACACTTTGATGCTGATCAAGCCTTTCAATGGGCCACAAAATGTCACGTTTAATGAGGATAAGTTCTAATTACTGTGCTATGGAAAAAAAAAGAATATTAAAAGGAAACTAGATATAAAATGCAAACTACATTACTGAAAGAAAAAGCAATGTAAAAGATCTGGGAGTAATGATGTCGGAAGACATTTACTCCCAGAACCTTTACATTGGATCTGGGAATAATAATCATAAATTGTTGCAACCGACTAAAGCTAAAGTGCTGGCAGGAGAGATGCATAATAATCTTCACCTGTAAAATATTAGAGGGACTGGTTCCAAATCTGCACATGGAAATAACATCACAAGAGACCAGGAGACACGGCAGGATGTTCAAAATAGCTCCATTGAAAAGCAGTGGTGCGATGGGCATGTTGAGAAAATTCTATCGGTATTAAGGGCCCAAGACTTCAACACTGCCTCTACACACGAGGCTTAACTGGTTGACCTCGGTTTCCAAAAGAACTTGATGAACCCTTCCAAAAGATACCTGATCAACTAGGCTGCAAATCATGTTCCTGGCTGCAAACAGCAGCATCTAACAGTCTGGTTGACCAGACCATCAACTAGTAGGTCTGGTCAGAAACTGGACAGCAGGGATGTTAATCCTTGGAACCATCACAAGGTAACAACAAGGTTAGTAAGGAGATCACTTTACCAAAGTGAAGAGGACAACACTTATGGTGAGGGGACAAGACTGGATGAAAGTAATTTTCAAAAATGTTACTTGTAAATGCTATGAAATCTGTTGCTGTATCCCTGGTCTTGGGAAGTGCTAGGATGGTGCTGCAGGGAATAACTGCTAGTTTGTCCTTGATATATATTTTAGTAATATGAACAGATTAGTGGTATTTTGAATGTTTAAGTAGGCTAAACTTTTTAATATTGTAACTTCATCACCCTTTTGTCCTCCCCTGCCCTTCCTCCTTGCTCTTCTCTTGATGTATTATACACTGATGAAAGGCAGTTTCTAGGATTGATTGGTACTAAAGTGGCAGAGTTTAGTGTTAAGTGTATTTGTAAGATGGTCCTGATTTGTGGCAAGTCTCTCCACATCACAAATCTGCATTTCCAAATGGTTACATAATACTTTAACTCAAAGTACAGTATACAGTATTCATAATTAATCTCATTTACAGGCAATTTAACTATGCTTCATCTCTGGCAAAGAGCCATAATCAGGCATAATGGTCTTATCAGTCAGGTCAATTGCCTATTCATTCTTTAATTTTATATGGGGGTGAATATGAAGATAACCATAAGCCTAGCTCTCCATGCTCAAAATCCGTGTTTCACCTTCACAAGTTTCTCGCACAAAGCAGTCAAATGTTGTTTATAGCTGGCACTTTAAGTCTAGTTCTTATGTGAGAGTTTTCATGGTATTTTGTATTGGCTTTACAATACAATATAATGAAACTGTCGAATGGTAAGTTGACTCGACAATATGCAGTGATTTTATTAGCACTTGGTAACCAATAAACTTAAATTGCCAACAGATTTTTGGTAACTTAAAATTAATAGTTCTCTAATATACATTAACATGTGTACAGTACTTTCTGTTGATCAGTAGAACGTTTTTTTGTCCATATACTTTATTCATGTCACAAATTAATGTAAAAGTATACGAAGAATTATAAAATGGATAATTATCTTCAGAAAGCATATAAGTATTTTGTAGATAATGCCTAAGTAAGGATTTACAAATTTTTACGTAAAGGTATTGAATTGTTGTACCATAATCATTGCAACAAATATAGGGTAGGGTTTTTTAAAGCTTCTGCACATTACTTGCACAACTCTAGTCTTGCACCAGCTGTCACTCAAATTTAAGACTTGAATTGCTCGTCTAATGCTTACCAGCTTGCTCATCTTGTCTAGAGGTAAACTTGTATAATAATTTTCATTTGAATTTCATATATGGGTTTTAGCTCTTGCTGGTAGTTTGAATTGGACAAATTTTGGCAGTGTAAATGTATAAAATGCAGCAAATAATACTGCCTAAGTTAAATAATTTGAAATTGAATACACTTTAGGATATGGTTGTTTACATTTCACTTTTGAGAGGGATGGATTTCTAAATCGTGAAATCTGGTAGCTTAATTTTGTTCCGCTGACCCTTTACGAACTGGGATTAGACTAATAAAAACTGCAATTCACTTGCACTAATCTAGAAGTTTCTATCTGTGAAATCTTTATTTATGGCTTTACTAATTCTAGAAGCACAGGGTAAGAATTTTGGGAAATTTTATGGAAGCCAATTTTTCTTGCTAATCCTTTTGCCTTGTTTGGGTAAATTATGAATGGCTTGATTGGTATCTGGACAAACTGTGTAACTACCAACTTCAGGAAAGTATTACTGGTTTCATTTTCATAATTGGAAACTTTTTATAATTGGCATGACTTCAGCAATATAAAGTAAACCAAACCATCCAGGACTAACTGCGACATTTCTCATTGTTGTTGAAGACTATTATACGAAGATGCTAATCTTGCACACTGACTTGGGCTTAAAATTGTGGTTTGGCACATGCAAAGCTCCCTAAAAATGCATTTATGAAGACCATTAGTTCTTGGTAGCTTTGCATGAATTAAATACTTTGCTTCAACTATTTAATATGCAAATGGCCTGATAATGCTTAAAATGGTGTACTGTCCTACAATTTCAAGAGATTTTGTGGCCACCTGCATGATTATTATTATTAAGATCACTATTCTTATGATCAAAATGTATTTAATATATATAATAGTTGTATTTTACTTTGCATAAAGGTAAAGTTTAACCTGCCTTTATACATTTCGAGAAATGCCACGTGGAGAAGACTATTTACGGTAAACATTCTGAAAAGGCTTTATAAAGTAACATTAAGAAGACAAGCTTAGTATGAAAGGGGGAAAAATAGTGGTAAGGTCAGGAAGATTAAATTCATATGCATTTCTAAGCTGTGAAATGTTAAACCATAAAACTGAATACAAATTTAGTATTTCAATGCCACTTGGTAAAAATGCCAGTTGTATAAATTGACATGAGTTGGCAGCATCTCCATAAGTTTCCTCTCCCATTATAAACAGTTGGCATTGTACACATCTTATTCTTGGAGGCAAAAGCCTTGTTAAATAGTCCACTCTTGGCTTGGTGTTTCATTTCAGTACTTAACTATGCAATTCAATTAATGGTGCTAAATGGAGCTTGATCAGCTGCTTGGGTGAAATAGCATTGCACACTGAATTTACATGGAGCAGTTGCATAACCTTTGCACTTTTTTTAGGCAAAAGGATATAGAAAAAGAAGAATTGGCTTGTAATATTTCTTGCACTCTCCCAAAATGTGCCCTAACAACTAATCCATTAGTAGCTTATAACGAGATTGGCCTCCCTTGCTCTACAATGCATGCCATCAGTGTTTTGTCGGACGTGGACGCGTCGGGATCCAGTTACTGGGGTGGGTGTCCTGTGCTGGGACATCCACGCTCCCCGCTGTGCTCCTAACAAGAGGAAAGGTAACCAAAGATACAGGTCTGTTGGCATGGGTTCAGCATCCCACATGTCCAGGTTGCAATATTTCCAGTAAGAGCCGCCATGGAAAATTAACTTTTGGATGTACAGTATGTCTGTGCAGCATTATCAGTTCTGTAAGCAGAAAAGATAGAATGATAGCTTTACCTAATGTGCATGATCCACTAGTTGTTTTTAATTGGTGGTGGCTTTTAAATTTGTTCTGGAATTATATAAATTTGAAAAGCTGCATCATAGCGTCAGTGAATGAAATTTAATTTGCTAATAAATTTATTTCCATTGCTGCCTAATCATTTTAATAAAGAGGACAAAGAATTTAAATATGTAGTTCAGTTGGTGCCATTTTAGGCATTCCATGAACCCAAGTTTTCAGACCTATAGTTCGGTACAGCTTACTAACAAACTTTATTCTAACCTGATGCTTAGAGCTTAATGGTACTGTACGTGCATTATGGGTGGTGGTGGCAGCAGCATCATGCATTATTGTAGCATATTAAGGGATATGACAAATTAGTGTAATTTTTGCATCTTATTGGTATATTGCTACATATACAGTCCTAGAAATGTAGTTAGTAAAACAGATTGCATACTCTGTAAATGATGGGAAATAGATTTGCCTTGGTTCATTAGTTTATAGGCCTATTACTGCTTACTCGAATCTTTTGGTACTTATTGGCAGTAATGTGTAAATAGGGAAATGCATGTTTGAAGATTAATTTTGTGCAGATACTGTAATGCTCTAATTTGATTATGGTATTCTATAAAGTAATTTGCTGACAGTAGCAATACAGTATAACCTATTGAAATTTTATATGAAGTGAGAACCTCTTACAGTAGATCCAGTTGTAATGAAATTGATAAATTATTTTTAACATGTGGGCATTTTGCAGCAGTTACTCCTGCAGTGCGTGAGAGCGTCGAGACGAAGACTCAAGAGCAGCCTCAGCCACAACAGAAGCAGAGGCAACGTGTTCCTCCAGGTGGCTTCTCCACTCAACTGTGGTAGACATGACTGCCAACCCACTAACTCAAATAAGACTTAATAAGCAGGCATTATTTTGGAAAACAAAACCCTTTGATCTTACAAGCTAATAGGAAATATAGCCTAACAATGTGTGATGTTTAGCTGTTATTGATAGATAATATTACAATGTTTAAATATGAAGGCTGACATGTAACTGAGGAATTTGCTTTTAAATATGCTAGATTTTGTTGCATTGCAGAAAGTTTAGCATTCAATATTAGAGACGAGTTATTTTGATATACAGTAATGTGTAACTTGATTGTAACAGCACATACAGTAATTTAGTCTTAGTTGGATTCTACTTCTGCTGGAATGCATAAATAGTGCATTGTCAGTCTGTTACCCAACATAGCAAGGCCTTCCCAATTACTCTCCTGCATTATTTAAGGTAATGGTTTAGTGAGCTGCATTATTTTGCCATGCAGTGGTGTGGCATGCCATATCTAGCTTTCATTTGCTACATGACAGGTTCAACATTAGCTACACACTGTTGCTCAATCATCTTGCTTTCTAATGAAGTTCAACCAAGGTTTGAATACTTTTTGTAGGGCCATTCATTAATTTAAAACCATTCCATGTACTTTTAAGAATAAGCTCTCTAGAAATTGAGGGTAACCCATTAATTTCTGATAAAATGTGCCTAATGTTCCATCCGTTTAAAAGAAATCACTATTTGTGTAGTAGATGATAAATTTTAATCGATAACATAAATGCACCTTTGTTAAAAGCTGGTCATTTTTTTCTTGCACCCTTCTTTGTTTTCATAAATATTCCATCAACTGTGATAATTTTGTTATTGCTGGAAGGGTCATAATATAATTGTAGTATCTCACAATTGATCTTGACCACTTGGGAATGCTCCTTTATAGAACTGGCTCCATTTGGCTGTAGCAGGACTTGTTTGTATTAATTTTAATAAATCTAATCATCTACTTTGAGTATATTCTAACCAACATGACTGGTAGTGTTCCTGTATCTTGAGGCTAAATAACTTTATTATAATTAAACGTTGTGCATCCTAGAACCACTCACAAAAGCTGGGAGTTTTAATGTAGATTTCTAGGAAGGTAAGAATGAGCCTGGTGGGTAGGTACAGTTGATCCCAAAGTTGTAGGTACAGGCTAGCTGTGCCTTGTTCTTGCAATGTGGGACACTTTTCCTTGTAACTAAGGGTGCAGTCATGGTTTATCCGATCTATATTTGTAAATCGTTTCTTAATGCCTAGAATTAATGCTGCATTTTGAGTTTAAATTTTTTTTGATATATACAAGTTGTTAAATTCTTGTACAGCCACTAGTACGCGTAACGTTTCGGGCAGGTCCTTAATCCAATGGTCCCTGGAATATGACCCCCCACGAAGAATAGTTTTTACAACCAAGTACCCATTTTACTGTTAAGTTAAACAGAGGCTACAGTTAAGGATTTTGTGCCCAGTAAGTCCTCCCCCAGCCAGGATACGAACCCATGACAAAGCGCTCGCGGAACGCCAGGCGAGCGACTTGCCACTACACCACGGAGACTGGTAAATTTGAAAGAGACTGGTTATTTGTAAGAAATAGAACAGCTTGGAAACTTTTCATTATTTTTAGTTGTCGACTGCCGAAATGCAGCAATTAGTTATAATTTTATGAAAACATAGGATTAATAAAACGGGTAATTGGAAAGTAATTCAAAGTTATTCAATTAAAATGATTATTGTTGAGAATTTGATGCTGTGTATTTGGCAGGAAAATTCATAGTATGGTATAATACACGCTATACTGTACTGGGGTACTGGTTTGCTCGTTAATAGCGCGAAAGCTCGTCAATCGAGCCATTTTCTGCGAGTGGCTCGCTCGTTACTTGAAATGCTTGTAACTGGAGTCGCTCGTCATTCGTGGTTCCACTGTGCACAGAGGCTTTACAACATTAACGGTTAAAAATGCTGAAAAAAAGATTTGGAACATTTCTTTAATTACAATATTAAAGATTTTATTACATAATTAATATTTTGGTAATTATATAAATTGGTTTTCCAATAATGCCAAATGAATGACTATTGTTTAGGTCCATTTTTATTCCTCTGTAAAGTTAAATATATATTTAAGCTAGTGAACATGCTAATGTTCTAAAGGCTGAATATAAAATCTAAATCTGTAAACATTTTGAAGACTAAATATGGGTTGGTACCCCTCAAGTACAGTAGTCATTAGTACACTTACAGAAAGATTGCTCTTGTGCACTTGCTGAGAAAGTTTTAGGGTTCAAAATAAGGAACTACCAAAATATTCCTAAAGCATAAAGAACATAATTATCCAGTAATACTAATGAATTTAGTTGTGAAAGTAGATTTGAAACTTTAATTCTGTAGCATGTGCTGAAAGAACTTGATTATATATGAAAGACATCCATAACATGCAGTGTATTGCTTAAAGACAAAGACCCCCTCCCTTTCTGGCTCATTGTCGTCGTGGGGGGGGCTTCATGGGCGGCTGCCGAAGTGTGATGCTTCATGGGTCAGTCCTTTGTCCTTTTGAGGCCTTGTGCTCCTGCTGCTGTCTTCACCAATTTTGCCAGATATCTTCCTTTTCCTCGTTTCATTTTTCTTCCCCCTCTTCTCCTTTCTAATTGACATTTTTCCCCACGACCTTTTGCCAGTCTTGATTGTTCTTTCGGATTTGTATTGACACCCGAGTGTTTGGGGAGGCATACTCTCACCCGTAGAACTGTGGTACCCCAATGTCGTGTGTGAGGAGACGCTTTTATTGTCGATCCTTCTTTCATCACTGAATCAAAGCTCGACGCACAGATGGTTCTTAAGGTGGCGTTTGTTGGGAGTATACTCTTGACACACCCTTGGGGGGCCCTGGCAAGACCGGCAACAAGTCTCTTGTTGGGTGTCCTATCCTCTAATTGTGGTTCCATGTTGGGTACGAGGGCACTTTCGTGAATGAAAGTATTCTCTTTCATGTTGCTGAATACTGTTCCTCTTATGATTTCTCAAGCTCGTGGGGTGGGCGACCAAGCCCACGAGTTGGACTGTGTTGGAAGACCGGGCTCTGTAGCCCCCGCTACATTGGGCCTAGACCTAGCTCCTCCTTTGACCCGCCTGACTACTCCCCTCGGCTCCCCTCCCTCCCTCTTTGGTTGGGTCGAGCCACAAGCCCCCAGCGGTGACCACCTCATCCCCTGGCCCGGCTCGCTCTCATTGTAACTACTGTGCTTTTTATCCCCTCTTGGGTTCTCAACCGTCCCCGCCGCACTCGGACGATCCCTTCGCATACTAATACGTATGCCTTGTTTGGTCCTGCTTCATGGGCTAAATACTTTGATCTCCTCCAGTTGGATTCTACACCACCTGAAGATTTCTTCCTCCATAAACACCTTGTTGATTCAGTAGATGCCTCTGTTACTTTTAACCTCACCCGTTTCGGTACACGTGTCTTCGCTGCTGCTCCTCAGGATATGGCTACCCGCTTAGCTGCATTGTCCTACATTATCCTACATTGTGGCGACTCCTGTTCGGGTCTCCAAAAACACTGTTAAATGCCTGTGTTGGCACTGTTCTCCTCCCACATGTTGCAATTGGTGTTCAGGACCTAAGACTGCCTTGAGGATATTAAGCATATCCTCAAGGCCCATGGCCATTCTGTTCTCCAGGTGGAAACATTCACTCAACCCCCTTGTGGCTGTCTGTCCCTTCGGGTTGTGAAGATTACTTTTGAAGGTCGGACACTTCTGCCCTCTGTTCTTTATGGTGCCAGGTGCTCCGTTCAGGAGTACATTCCCTCTCCACGGCTTTGTAATAAGTGCTGGACGTTTGAACATGATACCCTCGGATGCTCCAGTACTTTCTCTCTCTGCCCCATGTATGGGACACAGGTCACTAACTCGGAGTGCACTTCTCCCCAGGCTCGCTGCCTCAGTTGCGTTGAGGCCAGACGGGGCGTCTAACAGCCGAGTGGACAGCTCTTCGGATTCGTGGTCCTGAATTTCCGGGTTCGATCCTGGTCAAGGAGGGAATAAATGGGCAGAGTTTGTCACCCTGATGCTCCTGTTACCTAGCAGTAAATACAGTAAGTACCTGGGAGTTAGACAGCTGCTATGGGCTGCTTCCTGGAGGTGTATAACAAAGAGGCCTGGTCAAGGACCGGGCCACGTTGACTCTGCCCCAAAATCCTCTCAAGATAACCTTAAGATAGGCCTACCCTACCTTCTCTCGCGCGTATATACATTACAAACTCGAGGGAGCCGTCCTTACCTGGAAGCACCAGGAACGTTTCTTTTCCTAAGGTGAGGTGCCAAGTTCGCAGTCTCTTAACCCCCCACCCCCCCTTTCGCTGGCGTCTCTTATGCTTGCGTGTTGCGCTCTTCCTCTCCTCGTCCTTCCCACTTTCCTCAGTTTCGCAACCGTTTCCAGGCCTTGGACCCGGACATGCCCACCTCCAACCATGTTCTATTACGTTCTGTCCCGTAGGGTCACCCTTCTGGTCCTGTCTGGGGTTTCCCTTCTTTCTACCCCAGTCTGTCGTGTCTTCAGTGTCTTCTCTCATCTCCCTCCGATCCTCCTTCCTATCCTTCTTCCGTCTCTTAGCTCTCTGCGTTGCCTGTGTGCGGGCTGTTGTCCATCACTCTCCTTGCGATCGTGTTGTTCGCTCTCATTCTTCTTCTCCTGTTGAGACACTAGAGTCTGTTGCCCAGTACAGTGGCACCTCGACTTAAGATTGCCCCAACTTGCGATAATTTAGTTACGATGTAAATTTAATAGAAAAATGTGACTCGACATTTGGTGGTGTCGTCGACTAACGATATTTGTTGGTACACGTTCGGGTTGACCGAGCGTGTGGTTCCCGGTCACGCAGGCCGACCTACCTCAGTTTACTACAGCTGCTCGTTTTGTGGCGATCACGCCTATAAGAAATTCCGTTTTTGTGTTTTTTTTTGCTTTTTGAACATAAGTAATTATTATACATCACACCATGTGTCCCAAGAAAGTCAGTGGTAAGGTTCAACATATGAAAATCCATGTAAGGATGACCATAGAGCAAAAACAAGAGATCATTCGTAAATATGAAGATGGTGGCATTTTGTTCCCTCCGCCCTCCCTGCTTTTCCTGGGGCCCATAACTCTACTGCTCTCTTCATTCGTTCTGATATTCCCTTTGTCTCCCTACTTTTTCCATCGCCTCTCCAATGTTCTGCTGCACGTGTCTTTGAGTAAATGGTATACGGTTTGATCCATTTATCTCTCCCTAAATGTCCCACTTTCTCTTCCCGAACGAACACCACCTGAACTCCTTGCTGGAGCCTGTGCTCCTGCTGGGTGATTTCAATTGTCGGCATACCTTCTGGGGTGATGTTCTGATAAACACCCAGGGTAGCCTTCTTGAATTGTTCGTCCTTACTTCTTCCCTCTGTCTTCTGAATTCTGGTGAGCCCACTCATTTGGAATCTAATACTCACACCTTTTCCTGTCTTGATCTTTCTCTCTGCTCGTCGTCTCTTTACTTGGATTTCTCGTGGCAGGTTCTTGACCTCCATGGCAGTGACCATTTCCCCATCCTTGTTACCTTTTTCTCTTTCCACCCTCCCCTCTCCTTCCCTAGGTGGCAGTTTGCCAAGACAGACTGGAACCTCTTTACCCTCCGAGTTACTCTCTCCGACCTCTCCTTCGCGCCCCCATCCTTTTTCATGATACCATTTTTGACACTACCCTCCATTCTATTCCTCGCTCTACCTCTCGGGGCACACGGAAGTGTGTTCTCTGGTGGAATGTGGACTGTGCCTGAGCTGCCTGCTGTAAGCGTGCATCCTGGAAGAGACACTGCTGCCGGCAGATGGCTGATTCTTTTCTTTTGTTTCGGAAGGAGAGTGCAGTGGCCCGTAGGACCATCCGTACGGCTAAACATGAGTGTTGGTGTTGTTTCCCCCATTATGTCCGAAACTCCTCTGC